AGAAACAAGGGGGGCAATATACTATGATGTTACATTCCTATTAAAATCCCTTTACTGAATATAATGGCTATAATTGCAACGAGTTTAAGCTGATGAAAGGAATATGACTGTGATTCTTAAAATTCATATGCCTTCTTCATCAAGAAGAAAGCCTACAGAGAAAAGCCTGTGTTTATTTTAAAAAGTTCCTCTAAAAGAACACATAATTCTTTCAATAAACATTACATAAGGGGGAAATTTCACACATTTTCCCATCATTAGCGTTTCTGTAAATAGCGCCAATTCTATTTTTAAAGATGCTACTAGTAATTGCTCTGATCCAGCTGTTTCAAATTCTTTTAGCACCACCAGAGTTAACCACTAACGTTCTCTCACTGGGATCACCTGTGGTGTCCCACACCAGTTAACCACTAATGTTCTCTCACTGGGATCACCTGTGGTGTCCCACATGAGCCTGGAGAGGCAGAGCTGTTCTCCACAACCAAACCCCCACCCGTGCTGGTGGGAGCAGGGCTCCTTCCACCTCCTCCCGAGGGCCTGGCTCCCGCCGAGGGGTTACAAGGCTCTCACCAGCAGGTGCCCAGGCCATGGAGCGACAGAAGCGCCTGCCTTCCTCCCTCTGGCTTCTTCCTCCTGAGCTGCCGAGGTGAGTGTGTGCCAGTTCAGTGCCTTGCTTTGCTTTGGCCTTTTACACTGTAAAATACAAATCCTGATCGATTCTCTGTGTGCTGTAATGTTTTCTCTTGCTTAATCCTGTGAAAAAGCAATTGTATTCCTGGTACTATTTGAGCAATTCAGCTCTTTGAATTTTTGCTGACTTCTACCTTTCATTTTCTTGTGTTTCCTTTCTCTTGTGTGTCTGTTCACTTTTCTGCTTATGTTTTCTATGTATTTAAGTTAACCAAATGTTTCACTAAGAAATTAACAACATATGTTACTGTATTTTAATAAGACTCATTCTTAGAATTCACTCATCTAGTTATTTCACTTATGGGAGTATTTTTAAAAAATCTATATAAAGCTATAGAGACTAGCCTTACATAGAAAGCAGTGACTATTATACAGTGTCTCTTATTTTAGAAAAATGAGTTTAAAACCTTGCTTCCCAACTTAACTGAAGTCAAATGCAAGTCAAACTTGTGTATAATGTAGGTGTCTCCCAACAAGTAGCTCAGCAGAAAGCTGAATGTTTCCCTCTGAAGCTTGGTTATCACTTCCCACTCTGTAAGGTGACACAGTGCCCTCAACGTCCATAACTGACCAAGTCCTCTGCATGGGGGGCTCTCTGGCACCATTCCTGGTCACCCCCATCAATCTGTGACAGTGCAGGAAGTGGTGGTGGTATTGATGTACACAAGTCAGTAGTGACAAAGCCTGTAGAGACCCCAGGGTGCTGCAGGGAGGCTCTGATACAGGAGAAGAGGAGCCCGCTCAGGCCATCACTGAGTTGCAGGAGACAAGTGGCTGCTCTGCTTTAGCTCCAGAGCAATGGGTGATGCTGTGCAGGGGCAGCTCCCTCCGCTCCACGGTGCATTTGAGGTGCACCATCTGTGAAACCAGGCCTGGGGAGGAAGGAGCCTCTGTACTCAACAGCTTAGGTCTGACAAGAGATCAGTGCCTAAGCTTTGTCTTCTCAGAGACTGGCACCCTTAAAAGAAGAAAAAACCTCCTGTGATTCAATCAAACAAAACGTGTGACACTTCCTTTCTTGCCCAGCAAAACAGCCAAGTCCAAAAGTAGAGACTGATGCACCTTTGGAGATAATCTGGCAATCACTTTGGTCCATTATAGATTATGCTTGTGTTTCGCTGAGTTTTGCTTCTAGGAGAGAACTCCCAATACAAAAAGCTGGAACCCTTAGTAATCCCCCAAGGTCAGAAATAACCTGTACAGAATATTGCTTGTTTGCTGTCTTGCACACAAACTTTAATGATACTTCTGTTGTGATTGAATTTGTAAAGGAATCCCTCGGGTATTGGAACTGGATGGCCCAAAGAGCTCCAACCCCAAAGCCTCAGGAGGGCAAGGCTTTAATGCAAGGGATCTGTGCAGAGAAATATGCATAAACTGGCTGGTGCTCTGCGAGTGAAGCTTGTAACTCTGCCTTGCTAAAAGTGAAATGAACCTATTGAGGGATATATTTATTGGCTTTTGATCTGCTATTTCCTTTTGCCTTCTCATTAGAATAAAATCTTCCTAGACACTGTTGTGTTAAAGAAATGGTATTATGTTACTGTGCTGATGCTGCACAGAGAACTCAGGTGAGGAGGCTGAACTGGATAACTAGATTTTGAAAAGGAACAGTGAAAGTCCTGTTTTAAGATAAATTACCTAAGCTGGGTATCCTTCTGGATTCACTGGAAAAACACATGAAAATGTTTCTGCATTACTAATGTGTTACAGAATTCCAAACAGAACGCCAAGATCAAAACTACCTGAAATATCAATCCATTCACTAAAGCAGTGGCTGTCATTGGTTCCAATCCTAATGTTTTTTCTCATGTCATCTTAAATCAAATTATCCTAAAATATTTTTGGTTTTGTATAAATAAATGCAAAGCAATACTTCTTTCAGTGCAGCTTTGCCATTGATCCGTTTTTACTTTTCATAAATTGTGCCCTCTGGTTTATAAGTATTGCTCATAATTGGGATTTAATCACCTAAGTAGCCTCAAAGAAAATCTGTTCCAGGAAAAGCATAATAAAATTACTAGTCATACCTGCTTTCTCTTAAAATCAGCAGTAATAGCCTAATTAGTAGAATCTGTATTTTCAAAGCGGAGATGTGTTCCAGCTGAGGAGTAGGTGCTTTGCCTTATTCAGCCCAGGGAATGGTGTATTTTTCAGAAGCTTGTGGCCCTGTAGCAAAAGCAATGTGAAGATTTAGGCCCATTGTGCATTTAAGCCAACTGTTCCCGTACAAACGGCAGCATTGTAGGTCGCTGCAGGGACAACGGGTTTTTCTTCCTTCATAATTCAGAGATTTCCTATAACATGGAAGTGTTCAAGGTTCAACGTGCTCCAATGCAGGAGCGGTTCCTGTCCAGGCTGCCTTGGGGGTCAGAGCCTAAACCAGGGGAGGGAAGATGACTCTGGAAGGAAAGCTTTGCAGAAATGCAGTATCTCTGGCGGGTGCAGGTGTCCCAGTCTCCAGCTGTACGTGCTACAGAAGACACTGTAGGTGCAGGGGATCTGGCACGACGTTTCCCTCTCTGCCTCGCAGCGCCGCTGCCCCGGCTGTGCCTTTCCGGTGGGTTAGTTCTCGCAGTCAGTGAGATGCTCTTCCCTCAAGTTATCTTCTACTTGTAATAAAATGTGTCAAGTTATCTTCTACAAATTAAACAAACAAAAATGTGCTGCTGTAAGGAAACAGCTTCTAAAGGAAATCCATTAAAATAGCTTTGTTTTCTCATTTAGTTTAATAAGCACAGTATAAGTCAGCAAAAAAAAAAAGTCTTTAAACTCTAAAATTAATTTCCTTTATTTTAAACCCTGCTAGTGCTACTGATCAAACTCAGCCAGGTCACTGGGAACAAAATTATCTGGATTTGAAAGATTAAGCACTCTTCATGTCCTGGTAATGGATTTCTACCAACATGCTAATTAAGACCATATTTTATTTCAGACCAGTACAACCCCTGGCTAATGGCTGTGATGCCCTGGTGTACGGAGGCTCGGCAGGGGAGGTGCTATGTCCCTGTAGCCCGGGGGTGTCCTGGGGCTGGGGGTTTGGGGGGGTTCTCTCCTGGGGCTGGGGGTCTGTCCAAGCCTCCCCCTCTGCTCCCCGTGACCCCCTGAGGGGACACCTGCCAGCAGCTCCTTCATCGGGGTGGGGATATGGTGGAGGTGGGCCCTGGGAGATGAACAAAAAAGGAGTAATAATGGAGAATGGAGAAAAAACTGTTGTGAGGGTGTTACCGCAAGCCGGCGGATAAAACTTTCCAAGACCCAATATAAGCTCAGAAAGCAGGCATTTGTTGCAGCGCCAGGTGCACAGGGGATAGCTCCTCCTGTTGTGCTCCCCAAATACTGTTGCCAAATCAAATTTATACATAACAGATATACATATTCAATATAATTCCAAGAAAACATTAGCATATTCATTACATTTCTGAGAATTCATTTACATATTATAATAAGCTTTGGGCATGCGGAGCTGTGCCTTCTGATGTTCCTCATTTTGAGTAAGGGTCGTTTCTTCCTCAATCTTCATCTTCTTCACCTGTCCTTTGGCTCACTTTTCATGTTCTAACTACTTAATTGCTCATTAATACTAATGATCTCCCTGCTACCACCTGTCTGTCAGACAATGTCCATGTTTATTGCATCCCTGTCATAGGACACGGGGCCACAGACATCCCTTCTTACCTTACCAGGTCCTCGAAACCATTTGGGATGGGGACTGAAATAGCTGCATTTCTTCTCTAAAAGAAGATTCTCTACAGTTTAACCATTTATAAACGACATAAGATGTGCCGCAGGTATCACCGGCAGCCGGGGGGGGGGGGAAAGGGCGGCCCCGGGGGGACCCGGCGCG